ATATACCTGCATTTTTAACCTGCTCTTGTCTCGTTGTGAATATTATGGTGCCGTCATTTACCTGATTGTTATATCGGGCTACTTCCGTTATTTAGAACAAAACAAAATAGCCGCTCTAAAATGATCTAGTCATCTACGGAACATAAATATCTTAATTCTCTACTGTGGTAAGTCTAAACACACGCCAGATTGCGATGTCCGCGACATTTGAAAACAAACTTGTTCAGGTAAAAAGCTAACGTCAAACGTCTCCAATAGATGCGTCCCACAAAAAAAATGAATGTCTACATCTTACCAATATCAAAAGACTTATTACTGAACTTGGTAAATATTTTATAAGATGAGTGGGCGGAACGCCTCTGCAGGCTTCTTACTAGTACCGGTGTTAGGAGAATGGTGAATCACCAATATTTGTGTCCCGCGGTTTCATTAATGGATAAGCGACGCGATTAATCATAGTTTTCTTGTTATCAGCTATTTATCTGTCTAATACTGATATGTGCGGGATGGTCCAAGCCATGGAGGCTCTAACTTATTCTGCCTTATATTTTACCGACAAAAGGCAAATAAAGAGAAGTTTGGGTATAACGCGGCCGCGTTGATTTCAATATAAATAGAATTAGCTTTTGAAGGACGATTCAAACGCTGATAAGATTAATCTCAGACCGTATATAGAGAACTGCGATCAGAGGAAACATTGCCTGCCTTTGTCTTCTTCGGTGCAATACTTTGCGTGTTGTGTAACAACCCAAGAAGCGGAATGGTTGTTTAACTGCAGCAAGCTCGACACTTTTTTGCACGAGCCCAGGATGGAGGTGATGTGATCAAAGGTCGGTGAAGAAGGCGGTGCCTCTTTTTCCTCCTAGCCACTGACCCCCGTGCCGCCGCTGTCGTCGTTCGTAAAGTTCTCTCGCATTCTATGCAGCACTCCCTCGTCCCGTTCTCACATTTGCATTGCCCTCTGTATTCCCCACCGGTTACTGATTAGACATAAGACAATATCCCCCACTCCAGATGAAACCTGTGTCTATGTAACGTCTTTCTCTCTCAGATATTATTAAATTATTCTGCACGTGTACGTTTGTTACTAGTAAATTAGTATCCGTACATCCGTACTCTCTTTTATGAGTTGCGAAAATTCCCATCAGAGAATTCAGAAGTATAGGTTGGAGAAGTCCCTGGGTT